TATAGGAACAGTCTTCAACTTAACAGCAGGCTTTATGGGGACAGTCATCAACTTAACAGTAGGCTTTATGGAGGCAGTCATCAACTTAACAGCAGGCTTTATGGAGACAGTCATCAACTTAACAAAAGGCTTTATAGGGACTGTCATCAACTTAACAAAAGGCTTTATAGGGACTGTCATCAACTTAACAAAAGGCTTTATAGGGACTGTCATCAACTTAACGGCAAGCTTTAATGAGACAATGGAAACAGAAATTTATTTTTCCATTTAAACTTTTTAATTTATAAGTTATATATATCAAGGTTTAACAACATTTTACACTTAATTTAATAAGCTTTCTCACAAAGTTAGTTGGTTGGTGTGTTGTTAATGGGCTATCTGCGCTATACCCACAACGGGTATCGATACCTGACTTTTAGTGTTGTAAGCACGCAGATTTACCTCTGAGCCACTGGAGGCAACTTCACAAAGTCATGTTTCTGTATGCTGGGATTTGTTTAGCTAAAAGGGATCAGTTATGAAAAACGTCTACGTATTGTTTTAAATTGATAACTCCAAAAATTTAGTGAATCAATAAAGAGAGAGAGGGAGAAAAAAAAAGAGTTCTCACAAATGTTTCTTTTTTCTTCTTTTCTGGACAAGAGCTCCGTTTTCATGTAGATTTATGTTGCATGATTTGTGAATTTCAGTTTTGCTTCAATGATCAATTAGTGGATTAATGATTCAGCGAAACTTTTACAAGCCACTTATTTCTCGTCTCGGTGAGGATACATTCCAGACCATTTATGAGTAATGAAGTAAAATTTAAATTGCTAAGAAACACTTAAGTGTTTTTTCCTCGTTAACGCTGAAATCCACTCCCAAAAAAGGCAACTGATTTCAAGGTTTAATTCACACACTGTATGAGGAGTCCTAAAACGTTATACAAAATAAACGACTACTGATGAGAACTTCTACTGCAACACAGAAAAGAGATGCAAAGAAAACTTATATGAAGGCTCAGCAGTAACTCTGAGGGGGTTTGTGCGCTGAAAATTGAATTTCGATGCCAGCGGTGGGCAGAGCACAGATAGCTCAGTATGGAACTTTGTGCTTAACAACAAACAAACAAAACGTTTATGGAGAAGATCAATCACTATCAATAGTTTTAATTGATTAATTTCAATCTTCAACGCTTCTCATGTGTTTACAACAGGATCCGAGTTTTAAATAAGGATCTATTCGTATTAATATGAAACTTTAAACATGGGGTGGTATACACTAACTTGATCTTTTCCATTACACCTCCCTGTCTTATCACCAAACTGAATAACTTTAAACATGGGGTGGTATACACTAACTTGATCTTTTTCCATTACATCTCCCTGTCTTATCACCAAACTGAATAACTTTAAACATGGGGTGGTATACACTAACTTGATCTTTTTCCATTATATCTCACTGTCTTATCACCAAACTGAATAACTTTAAACATGGGGTGGTATACACTAACTTGATCTTTTTCCATTATATCTCA